AAAACGACAGCAACTTGTCTGTTCCCCTTCCCCCAATTCCCCAGCACTGTTCCCATCCCCCAATTCCCCAATAAAAATCTTAAAAAGAAAAAAGAATACATTAGAGGGAATCAACAGTAGATTAGATGAAGAAGAGTGTTGAATCAGCTATTTGAAAGACAAGGTAGCAGAAAACACTCTATCATAACAGCAAAAACAAGAAAGAATTTTTTAAAATGAGGATACTTTAAGGAACCTCTGGAACAACCCAACCTTTAGTGTAACAACATTCGCATAATAGAGGCACCAGAAGGAGACAAGAGAGAACAAGGAATTGAAAACCTACTTGAAGAAATAATGACTGAAAACTTCTTTAACCTGGCAAAGGAAATAGACATAAAAGACCAGGAAGTGCAGAGTCCCAAACAAGATGAACCTAAACAGGCCCAAACCAAGACATCATAATTAAAATGTCAAAGGTTAAAGACAAAGAGAGAATCTTAAAGGCAGCAAGAGAAAAGCAGTTAGTTACCTACAAGGGAGCTCACATAAGACCATCAGCTTATTGCTCAACAGAAATTTTGCAGTCCAGAAAGGATTGGCATGAAATATTCAAAATGATGAAAAGAAATGACCGACAACTCAGATTACTCTGCCCAGCAAAGCTATCATTTAGAATTTAAAAAAAAAGATAAAGAGCTTCTCAGACAAGAAAAAGCTAAAGGAGCTCACAAACACCAAACCAGTATTATAAGAAATGTTAAAGGTCCTTCTTTAACAAGAAGAAAAAAGATAAAAGTATGAATAATAAAATGGCAATAACTACATACTTATCAATAATTACTTTAAATGTAAATGAATTAAATGCTCCAATTAATATACAGGGTGGCTGAACAGATAAGAAAACAAGACCCATGCATATACTGCCTATAAGAGATTCACTTCAGATAGAAAGACACACAGGCTGAAAGTAAAAGGATATAAAAAAAAGTTCATGAAAATGAAAACAAAACTAAAAGCTGGAGTAGCAATACTTATGCCAGAGAAAACAGACATTAAAACAAAGGCAATAACAAGAGACAAAGAAGGACCCAGCAATTCCACCTCTGGGCATTTATCCAAAGAAACCCAAAACACTAAGTCAAAAAACATATGCATCCCTATATTCACTGTAGCATTATTTAAAATAGTCAATATATGAAAGTAACCTAAGTTATTTCCATTGATAGATGAATGGCTAAAGAAGTGGTACATATACACAATAGAATATTACTCGGCCATAAAAAAGAATGACAATTTTCCATTTGCATCAACATGAATGAACCTGGAGGGTATTATACTAAATGAAATAAATCAGATAGAGAAACACAAATACCATATTTTTTCACTTATATGTGGAATCTAGAAAGCTAAATAAACTAACAAAATGGAAATAAACTCACAGATACAGAGAACATTTTGTTGGTTGCCATACGGGAGAGGGGTTCAGAGTATATGTAAATAAGTGTGAGGGATTAAGATATGCAAATTGCCAGCTATAAACAGTCATGGGGATGTAAAGTACAGCATTGAAAATATCATTAATAATATTGTAATGACTACATATGGTGTCAGGTGGGTACGCAACTTATCGGGACGATCACTGTAAGTTCTATAAATGTCTAATCACTATGTTGTACACCTGAACAAATATAATACTGTATGTCAACTGAAATTAAAAGATTATTTTAAAAGGAAACAATTAAAAAATAGATAAAAATTAGAATAGACACTTCATAAAAGAAATTATACAAATGGCAAATAAGCCATTATTTGAAAACATGATCAACATCATTAGAATACAAATTAAAACAATATTGGCAAACCATATTGGTTAACTATTAGAAGGGCTAAAATTAAACAACACTGATCATATTGAATGTTGTTGAGGATACGAATGAACTACAGAACCCTTACACACTACTTACAGGACTGTTAAATGGTACAGCCACTTTGGAAAGGAGTTTTGTACTTTCTTATAATATTAAACATTCACCCACCAAATGTTCCAGTCATTCCATTCCCAGGCTCGTAGATATCTACTCAAAATTAATAAAGGCATATATCCAAAGACTTGTATATACATGTTCATAGATGCCTTATTTGTAGAGGTCCCTAAAACTGGAAACAATCTAAATGGCCATAAACCAATTAATGGATCAACATACTGTGGTATATTCATATCACAAAATACTAGTCAGCAATAAAAAGGAATGACTTATTTATACATGCAACAACACTGAGTCTTAAATAATTATACCGAGTGGAAGAAGTTATAAAAATTATATATGTTGCATAATCCCACTTACATACAACTCTAGATAGAAAATGCAAACTAAAGTATAATAATAGAAAGCAGGGCCGGCCAAGTGGCGCGTTGGTTAAGAGCTGGCTTGGGATGCCAGAGGGCCCCACTTCGGATTCCACATATGAGGGCCAGTGACACTGCCCTCTACATCTAAGATGCTGAACAACAGCTCGACCTGGATCTGGGCTGCCATGAGTCCCTGGTGATGGCAGGTGGGTTGCCATGGGCTACCATGTATAGCCAGCAGCCACAGTGAGCGGCCGTCCAGAAGCCGGCGACTGATCTGCCTCGCCCAGGAAGAGTGCAATGATGGTGCCAACTTGGGCCAGTGAAGCAACGTCCTCCACAACTAGACTGAAGAACAAAAGGATAGCAACTTGTCTGTTCCCCTTCTCCCAATTCCCCAATAAAAATCTTTTAAAAATAAATAAATAAAACAATAATAAAAAGCAGATTAGTGTTTGCTTGAGGGAAAGGAGGGATTGCAATGGGACACAAGGAAACTTTTTGGAGTAATGTACATGTTTATTATCCTGACTATGGTGATGTTTTCATGGTGCATGCATATGTAAAAACTTACAAATTGTACATTTCATTTATATGAACTTTATTGTATATTATACCTAATAAAGCTGTTGAAATTAACAAAAATATCCTAAAACCAAAAAATTAAATGAAAATATTGATTAAATATTACCATTTCTACGTCAGGGGATAGCAAATTAAAGCTAAAAATAAAACTCTTTCCTCACTGCCAGTAGCTAGAATTTAGAAAAATGGGAGTTGATTACCGATCCCTTCATAGCTCCCCTTATGGTGAGGATGGGTGGTGCACTAACCCTGCCCTAGAATAAGCTGGAGAGAGAAGACAACAGTATGCTAAGTAGAATAGTTTTCTAAGATGTTCCCATTTATTCTCCTTGCCTATTGTATCAAGAAGGCGTCTGGAGTATGTTGGTCTGTCTTTTCTCTCATGTGAAACAATGGAAATAGAGAGTATCCAAGATAGAGGGTAGGTTTTGCTGTTAGGCCACCTGGGTCCACAGCACGGCTCCACTGTTTACTAAAGGTGTGACCTTGGACAAGTTCCCTAACATCTCTGTGCAGTTTCCTCATCTGTAAAACATGAATTCATTCAATAAATGTTTACTGAGAACTCTCTCCCCCATAAAAGCTCTTAAAAATGGCAATACAGGAAAATGTATATAATACAATAAGTAGAAAAAAAAACCTTCTGAATTTTTATATTGGGTTGTTGGAAAAGTCGTGACGCTTTTTTGCAACAAAAAAAACAGAAAAAATACATCATGACTCTTCCAACAACCCAATATATTCTAAGAGATTAAAAGTACCAAAAAGAAAGAACACAAAAACGGTTAAGAATTAAACTTTTCAGGCATGTGAAGCATAAGAAAGATATAATTAGAGGAGAGCAAGATATAGTTTCCAAATTATACAGGAATTCAACTGATTCTCTCTATATAAATTATATTTATTTATTTGAGAAAAGAGGTTAGAGTGAAATATTCAGACCAAACGATTATGACACTGTTGTAAAAGAGAACTTATCAAGCACAACTCATTTTACATGTGTATCAAATCAACACACTGCACACCTTAAACTTACACAATGTTATTTGTCAATTATTTCTCAATAAAAAATAATTTAAAAAATTAAATTAAATTTAGAAAAGCACAACTAGATTGTGATCTGCTACCAATGTCATGTCCTCTCAGCAATCAGTCATGTTGATAATAAGCTTATGTTTTCCAAAAAAATAATGTTTTGATTATGCGTTTTCATGAACATTTACAATATAGCTTTAATTGGCAATTTTATAGTGTTACAACTATTACATGAAACATAAGCCAATTCCTACAATTTTCAAAGTTTATCCAGTGAAATATTATCATAATGTTACTAAGATTTCCAATTTGACATTTTAAATAAAGTTTATTTATTTTTAATTTCAATAAATTTATTGGGGTGATATTGGTTAATATGATTATATAGGCTTCAAGTATACAATTCTATAATACATCATCTGTACATTGCATTGTGTGTTCATCACTCAAGTTTAGTACACTGTTCAAGGTGAATATAAATCTTCCATTCAGAGTCTATCCATGGATTTACTATGCAAAGGACTCCACATGTCCTCCATCAGGAAAAATGAGGAGCAATGACATCAAAACTAAGTTGTAATATGGCCACTATATTATTTTATTCAATGATGTATATGATGAGTAAATTTTCCCCATATATGTAACTGTTTTGGAAATGATTTGAAAAAAGCAGCTTAAAAATATTCATTAGAGATCTGCTACCGTTAAACCTGGAACTCAATAGAAGCTACCAATGGAAGGCATTCATTTTCATGTTCAAAAAGCGCTATTCATTCCTACTGTGAAGAATAAGAACTCCAGTGTGCATGTAATCAATTAATATTTAAATGATCATTTTGATAGAAAAATAACAATTACCTGTGACACACCCAACTTTTTACAAGCATCAAGAAAATTTTCTACGTTTCTTCGACATTTTGCCATGCTCAGTTTAGGCTGTAAAGTAAGAGGGGGAAAGGCATATTTTCAGACATATTTATATACAAATTAATCAAAACTGAAAGTTTAATTTATTTAGGTATATTATTTAAGACAGTTTCGAGAGGCTCTATCTTCCTTTAGAGAACTAACAAATCACAGACAAAACTTACCACTGCTGGTGATGGCACATGAATACTAGCTACAGAGCGCGGCCTTATGTGATTGGCTAAATGGCAGAGAACAACCCCATCCATCAGTGCAGCTCCAATGTCTTCAGGCAAAATTACTTTTAACTTGGATTCGAGATTCTATAAAGAAATGGGCATAAATCACAGATATTGTACCTAAATGTTATATATTTATATTACTAATCATTACATAATTCAAAATTTTAAAGAGCATTGAAAATAAAATCCATATACATTGTTATTTTTCCAAGTTAAACCCATTTCTACAAAGCAGATCTGAAAGGGCCATTTGACTTACTTTGCGCAGTTGTCGTATTTGCTCTCGTTCTTCCCGTAGATGTTCCATCTTTCTTCTCATTGTAAATCCAGGATCTGCTGCCCCATATTCCTGGCGAGATGAGCGGCTAAAAGCTATAAAAACAGGAATTTCGAGCTTATTACAAAGCTAATAGGATCAACCATCAATAGGGAAACAGGCATGATAAAAAGAATCAAAACTACATAAAACACTATTACTTATTAATACATTCTAAATATTTTTTACAGAATTTAATAGGAATCTACTTATCTGCATAATTGAAAGCAACAACAGGGAAGACACCTATACATGTTCTTATTTAAATAAACATTTTTAGAAACGTATGATCCAGGTTAAAAATATTATTGAACATAAGTTAGCTTTTATTATCTTTAAAGAAAAAGGAAATTATTCTTGAAGGTCAATACAGTTATTCAGGAATAAAAACTATAATTCAATACCTTGCCAAGTAACATGGATCCATTTTCTTTTGGGCTTGCCAAATGCGAAAAGATCCCTTTTTAAAACCACAATATAATGGAGTGCTATAATTTCAAACAGTGTTTGGTCTGCTGGCAGAGTGGTCATTCTAATAGCAGTCACAGTAGAGTAGAAATAAGACTGCAGTATATCTAAGGCAAAAAGCTGTGGTTTCAGGAGCTTGAAGGTAAAGAGGAAGAAAGAAATGGGGAATGGGAATTGGAAAGACAAATAAGGTTAAGAGAAAATTACTTTTAGGAGAGGGGAAAGAATCTATGTGTACTTAAAACTATGGAATCAAATCCCATTTAAGCTGGGAAACTGTAGTTTCATACATAACCAAAAATTTTATTTGCAAAATATATATTTACCTGATCTAGGCTTCAAGCCAAAAGGACCATGTGAAAAACCATCAGTTCTATCATATTCCTAAAAACAGAAAACAAATAAAAACCTCTTTTCTTTCAAAATAATCAAGGTAGTTATTTATGTCAATTCTAATTTTGAGAAGTTTTTTTTTTCATGATTAATGAAGTAGAGAAAGGTAAACTGAATTTCAATTCAAATTAATAATTCCACTTTTAAAATATAAATATTTTCTAATTGACCTGACTACATAAGCCTATAATACTTAATATTTCTCTCTCATAGAATAAGAAAAATGAACAGAAAATTATTGAAGTGTATAAGATAAATAGATATTATTTTTTACTGAATGGCCAAATTAAAGTCTCCCATAAAATGAAGTAAACTTCGGGCCGGCTGAGTGGCTCAGTTGGTTAAGAGCTCGCTCAAGAGTTTGAGCTCTGAGCAACAGCGGTTCGAGTCAGCCCGAGCTGAGCAGCCGTNCAACAGCGGTTCGAGTCAGCCCGAGCTGAGCAGCCGTGAGCTGCAAACAGGTGGTGGGATGGCTCAGCTAAAAAAAAAAAAAAAAAAAAAGAAGTAAACTTCAATGAAAAGATAAGTGAAATAAGCAATGTTTACTCCGTATCTACCATGGACTCAACAGTGGATATCTGAGGGAAATCTACACATTCATACTAATAGGGCCTGCAGAATGATAGGTGATAAATTATTATGCCTTCTGTTTGAATGCACATTGCTTCAAAGTGCTTTCACACAGTTACTTGTACGCTGTGGAAAGAACTGTGGTATATTTTTTTAATTCTGAAATTGGAGTCAGAAAGCTTAGGCTAAGTCTTGAACAAAACATTTAATTTCTGTTACTGTTTCTTCATCTTTAAAATGGGGTGTTGTAAAGATTAACTGAAATAACTAAAAGAAAGCATGTTGTAAATGTAAAGTGGTAAGATAATATAATTTTAGCAGCATCTTAGTTGATCTGTGCAACAACCATGAAGTAACTAAAGTCCGGGTTTCAGTCAACACTCTACCACATTTATTGACTAAGGTCTTTGGGTAAAGTTATCAGTCTCTTCAGCTGTGAAATGATGAGGATAATACCCAGTTAATGGGACTGCTCATAGGTAAATGTACAGGCAAGACTTTGTTAGTAGTAAAGCATTTCAGTAAAACCTTGGATTGTGAGTAACTTCTTTTGCGAGTGTTCCACAAGATGAGCAAACATTTCTAACATATTTTAACGTAGTAAACAAGTGATGTCTTGCATTTCTAGTTATTTCTTTCCGGAATGAATTATGCTCGCAAACCAAGGTATTACTGTAATTGTTTTTTATCATTTTTCTTTCACAGATAAAATTGAAGCAATTTGGAATTATGTTAAATCTTGAATCTTCTGCTGATTAACATGAGATATACAGTTCAAGTTGAATGTTAGTTGAGCTACCAAAACACATGCTCACCACCCTATCTGTCCACAAGCCCCAGTTTCTCTTCATTATTTTGGTTCAAATGCCATGAATTTCCAACAAAAATTTTACTTATCCAAATGCAAGCAAAATGCATTATATAAGCAACATAATTTACTTGAGAAAACTGGCACTAATACTCTCCCCATGATTACAGATCATAAAATTACAAAGCAACTAGGCAAATAATTAGTCACTTAGACGCTTACATTTGTTATAACTGAAAGTGAAAGAAAAGACTTAGAAAAGCATATGACAAAGGTTACTTTTAGGATATCTTAATTTAAATTATTTTCTAAAAGAATGTAAACCACTTTATCTGCCATATAAATAATTTAGAAACATGTTTATAAAACTAATGTCCAGGTCTATCTAAAAGTTTTATAATACAACTCAATAGACAAATAATCCTAGCTTTCAAAAATATTTAACACTACCTATATAAAATGAAATACTATCTAATTCACAAAAGTTATTTGGTGAATTTGGATCATTCAAACATTTGTCAAAGTCCTGAATTCACCAAATGAATGCATATTCATTTATTTACTAATACCAATACACTCTTAGAGTAATAAATAAGGTATTCTGAAATAAAGATATTATTTAACATTTTAAAATTTTATCTCATGTTGCAAAGCAGTAGGTTTAACTAAATTTCAAAAACCAGTCATTCAAACTATCAGAGTATTTGGTTGAGATCTCATAATGCTCATCTACCCCTTCTTCCCATAAGCCCCCAGGTCTAAGATCCTAGGAAACATGTACCCTCCTGTCGATAGGAACAACCCACTGCAGGGATGTTTCTCGTGGAAAAAGGAAGTTTCTCTTGCATTGCTTTCAGACCTAAATGGTTATGAGAAAAACCAAAGGTCATTGCACAATGCTAAAGTACTTTTTTCAAATTAAAAATTTTAAAGCTGTTTCTACCATTTATTTCAACATATAGATTAATTTAACATATAGATTACATAAAATGAATTCTTTTTTGAGATCTATCAGAATTTTCCAATGAGTAACTTAAGCTATATTTATTATGAATATTTGTACAAAAAGGAGGTGCTCTTAGAATTTTTTATAGGCTATGTTTGTATAAATTAACCTATGTGGATTTTTAAATATGGGTGAATAAATTAGTGTAAAAAAAAAAGAAAGATGAGTTTAGAGACCAGACAAGAAAGAACCTTATGCAAACACATATAAAAACAGAACTTGTACCTCCGATGATACTGGAGATTGTGGTGACATATTAGCATTATCACTGTCTTGCTAAAATATTTTTTAAAAAGATGAAAGATGAGGACCGGCCGAGTGGCGCGATGGTTGAGAACTCGCTTGGGATGCCAGAGGGCCCCGGTTCGGATCCCACATATGAGGGCCAGTGACACTGCCCTCCACAGCTAAGATGCTGAACAACAGCTCAACCTCGAGCTGGGCTGCCACGAGTCGCCGGCGACGGCGTGGGCTGCAGTCCCTGTGGCAGTGGATTGCCATGGGCTACCATGTGTGGCCAGCAGCCAGCGTGAGCGGCCAGCAGCCGCAGTGAGCGGCCGTCCAGAAGCCGGCGACTGATCTGCCTCGCCAGAGAAGAGTGCAATGATAATACCAACTTGGGCCAGTGAAGCAACATCCTCCACAACTAGATTGAAGAACAAAACGACAGCAACTTGTCTGTTCCCCTTCCCCCAATTCCCCTGCACTGTTCCCATCCCCCCAATTCCCCAATAAAAATCTTAAAAAAAAAAAAGATGAAAGATGAAATTAAAACATGGATGATGATTTAGACATATAAAAAGAAAACTGACAATTATTTTGATCAACTGCTAAAGGAAGAATCTAGAAAATAACATCTACCACCTTGGCACTCAAAGTGTGGTCTGAGAAGTAGCAACATCAGCATTCTCTGGGAGCTTGTTAGAAATGCAGAATCTCAGACCTCACCTAAGACCTACTGCATATGAATCTGTATTTCAATAAGATCTCCAGGTGACTCATAAGTCTGTAAAAGTTTTAGAAGTACTATCCACTCACACCAAATATTTTTTATAAGTTTATTTCCTTTAAATATCACAAAATAAAAACTTTTTATAGTTCTTAGAAAAGATCCACGTGTTCAGGTTAATTTCTGATGGGAAATGACAACAATATGTTACAATCTGAGGCAGGTACCTGGAGATATGTAAAACTTCCATTACTCCAAATAAGAAAGTTTACCTGGAAAATTATGTGTATTTAACATAGGCTTAGAAATAACTACACAAAATTTAATTGCATAAAACAATATTAAGTGGCCCATGTTTTTTGAATGACTACTAACAACCAAACACAAAAATCTTAATATTTAATCTTGATTATGTATACCACATAGGACATTTATTCACACCATTCAACAAATGATTACCAACTACCTACTATATGTCAGGTACTGTGCTAGATATTGGGAATATTGAAATTTAGTAAAACATCATCCAGTTAAGGATCTCTCAGACTAGAAGAAAAACACCTTCATTTATACACGTAATACAACCTTCTCAGTAAAATGGCAGAGCTTTGAATGGCATATTAAAAGACACCGATAAAGGGCACTTGGGGAAATGGTAAGGGTGCTAGAGAAAGGCAAGTTTCCTGAGAAAGTAAAAAACTGAGTAGGTATGCACCAGAAAAAAGAAGAGAACAACAGTCCAAGATGAGAGGACAAGAACAAAAGCACAGGAGCAATAAATGAAAAGGATGAGTGCAGAAAACCTTTGAACAGTTCTATATTACTGAGAGTTCAGTGAAAGGAGGGCAAATCTGGAGTTGAGGCTGATTTACCCAAAGAGATTGACCAGGAAAGACTTAGAATTTACCTTGTAAGTGATAAGGAGACATTGAAGGTTTCTAAGCAAGGGAATGGCCTGATCACATTTGTGTTCTTTGAAATAACCATTGTGGCTGCAGGGGGAGTGGACTAGAGAAAAGGGAGAGAAGAGCAAAAATGCTAATGCAGTAGTACAGGCCAGAAATGATGAGGGCCTGTGCCAGGGCAGAAAGAGCAGAAATGCAGGTGTGGGATATATTCAAAATATTTCAGTATTGAAAACAAAATAGGTCTTGGTAACTGATTAGATATTGAGGCAGGCAGGAACCAAAGTGGACATAAAACGTAAAGGGATAGGGAGAACAGCCAAGCTGAACCTCAAGCTCAGGGTTCAGCAAACATTTTCTGTGTGATTCTGTTTCCCAAAATTAAAGGCGTTTTCAGAAGCCTTGCCAAGAACCAATATTAAATTAACTACCATGGGCTAGCCAAGTGGCTCAGTTGGTTAAGAGTTAGCTTAAGAGCACGAGCTCTGAGCAACAAGGCTGCCAGTTTGATTCCCACATGGGCCGTTGACCTGTGCCCGAGCTGCGCTGCCACTGAGCTGCCAACAGGTGGCAGGATGGCTCAGCTGGTGAGAGCATGTGCACCTAATAACAAGATGGCCTGTTCTATGGTGGGCTATGTCTACCCGCAACTAAGACTGAACTCGGCACCTTGAGCTGAGCTGCCACATGGATACCTCAGTGGATAGAGCATGCACTCTTAACAACAAGGTTGCCGGTTCGACTCCCACATGGGATGGTGGCTATGCCCACCTGCAACTAAGACTGAATTCAACACCTTGAGCTTAGAGGCCACGAGCTGCTGATGGGCAGCCAGGTGGAGACTAGCGCCCTCCACAACTAAGACTGAAGAACAACTTGGCTGGTTCCCTTCCCCAATTTCCCAACACTGTTCCCCTCCCCCCAATTAAAAAAATTAACTACGAATCCCTCCAAACAAAAATACAGAAAGTTTAAGTATTTATGGTGATGAGACTTTATGTATCATTTGAAAAATACTGGGATGCTGCATAGCTTAAAATGGTGAAGTAAAAAAATTTATACTAATGCACAAACTGTAGAAATCTAATTTTAAATGTAGTACACAGAATTTGTGGAAAGAGACTAATAAATTGCAGGCAAATTTCAACTGACCACCAGGTTGATTTAGAAAGAAAAAAGATGGGAAAATGTAAAACTTTTGAATTCATGAATTATAGTTACATGAAAAATGTTAATAAAATTCTAAAACGGAATTATTAGAAAGTCTGTTCTAAATAAAGAACATATGGAAATTACATGATTAATAATTATATGATGATGCTCAGTTTTTATTATTGGAGAAAACCCAGCATTCAATCAATAACAAAGAAACTAAAAGGTGGATTACATTTTACTCTGATTGAGCCAACTACATATGAAAAGTAAATACTTTAAAAGTAATTGGTATATTATCCTCTTTTCTCACCTCATCGTTTTCAAGGCCACTTGAATTCTTCCTGGATGATTTATACTGAAAAATATTTAAAACACATACTTTATTTTTCCTTGAACATATGAATTCTCTACTAGTAAATTATATGTGAGATTTATTCATATTTTGGTATTTTTATTAAATTATCTGATACGAAGTTTAAATACATAACCAGTTTAAATAGTCCTACTACTTACTAATAGCTGACACATACGGTACTTTCTATAGGCAAGGCATTGTTTTAAGGGCTTTACATGTATCTATTAACATTTCCTCCCTAAATCAGTCAATGTTCCACTCAATTCTGCAATCTGAGGGTTGCCTTAAATCCTATTTTTTAATCCATTCCAATACATCATCAAGCCAATTGTCTGTGTTATCTCAGACTTACTTCTTCTGAATTTGCACAACTCTCACCCTATCCTAGGCTCCCATTCTCTCACACCTAGTCTGCAATCTTACCATTCACAAATGTCTATTATTAAGAAACCTACTGATTTCAGGTTAAAAAATACATTAAATATATATTGACTATACATTAATAATAACAGTGGTAACAGCTAACACTTAAGCTAGAGCTTACTATATACCAGGCACTGGTTGAGATGTCTTACAGATAAGGCACTAATTGAAGTGTGTTACCTGTATTAACCCATTTAATCTTCATAACAACCCTAAGGTAAATATGAGTACTATTATCTTCATTTTATACTGAGACGCAGAGGCAATATGGTCAATGTCAAAAAGGCTAGTATGTGAAAAAATGCTAGTCTTCTTAGAATCAAGAAAATACAGTATGACAACCAACCACTAGAGTTCTTACTTCTGATTCCTGCTCACCACAAATAATCCTGCAAATCAGTGGCCAATTAGCCTTCTCAAAACACTACTTGCAACTCCTGACTCTCCTGTTGAAAAACCCACTAACTTCTGGTATGTCCAAATTTCTTTGCCTGGCATTCAAAGTGCTATTTAACAGCTCCCTTTACTTATGCAGCTTTATCTTCCATAACTGTTGGGAAAACAGATAACCTATCTGATTGCTCAACTACAAATTAGGAGGTGAGCAGTATTAGGGATTACAAATACAAAACCTAAGTTCCTCCACTGTCTCTCCTGAGATTTAAGACAACTACCACTAATCTACCAAGGTGCTCTTCCCACCTAATCCCAGACATAGCCTCAGTATACTTTCAATCCAATGTTCTAGGCAGCCACTGAATGAAGTTGGCATGTGTGAATAAACCCATTTGCTATCCCTAGGCAAATGCTCACTTATGGCACCTATTCTTGATTCTATTCTACTTCAACAAAAGAGTGACATTTGGACAGCAGACAGCAGGACTCTTAAGATGGCATGAGTCATACCAGTGAAAGAGAAGAAACTCATGGATGTCAAAATACAAACTAGAAACTAGTACCCCTAAAGGTACTGTTGGAGTTTTCCTAAGAGGTTACTATTGACCAGTATTACAAGTATATCAATGTGAAGAAAGAGAGTATCACTGGGGTTTGTACAGTGCTGGCAGCTTATAGGCTTTTCAACTACTGTCTTTCTTACAAGGAACTCAACAGTGACAGCTAGGCGAGTACCACTGAAGAGGGCCCAGTGTGGAGGGCTCGGTTTGCATTCCTGACCATGACCTTCTTTGCCCAGTACCTCTGATCTTTGCTAAATCCTTTCATATCATATTTGAGAATTAACACTCAATAAAAGATGATTGGTACAACAAACAAACGCAAAACAACACAATGACATTTGAGTGAATAATAAGCTAATATTTCTTAAGTGCATACTCTGTGGCAAGTGCTGTTCTAGCACTTTACACTAAATCATTCAATAGATGTAACAATCCTGTAAAGAAAGATACTATTAGAGCCCTGTGAAGAATAAAAACAAATTAATCTCAGTAAGTTTAGGTAATTTCTCAAAGTCACACAATTAGTAGATATCCCACGTAATCCCACGTAAGGACTAGAACACAAATTTGAATCTAGAAGCCCAGGTTCTTAACCACTATGCTATCTCTAAGTTCTGAATAAATAGTAGGAATTTGCCAAGAATAAAAGGGATAATGGGCATTCCTAGAAAGAAGAAAGCACAAAGGAATGAAAAACCTCAACCTATACAGAAAACAAAGAGTAACGTAGATAGTGAGGAGAGTAAATTGTGGCAGGTAATAAACCTTAGAGAAGTACATAAGCATGGTCTATTAAGTTTTTAAGATGTCCAAACTTTGTTATTAATAATGGAGAGCCTATAAAGACATTTAAGTCAGGGATCTCTGCGAAAGCTCTGAAACTGAAGAAGGAACATTAAGAACTTATCACAATCAACTATACTTTAATTTTAAAAATAAGTTATTGTACCCAAGGTCTGTAAATTTAGTACCTATGTTTTCTTCTATGCAGTTTATTGTTTCAGGTCTTATGTTTAGGTCTTCGATCCATTTTGAGTTAATTTTGGTACACAGTGACAGATAGTGGTGTAGTTTCATTCTCTTCCATGTGGCTTTCCAATTCTCCCAGCATCATTTATTGAAGAGGCTGTCTTTTCTCCATTGTATGTTTTTGGCTTCTTTGTCAAAAATAATCTTTCCATATTTACGTGGGTTTATTTCTGGGTTCTCAATTCTATTCCATTGGGCTCTGTGTCTGTTTTTCTGCCAATACCATGCTGTTTTGATTATTGTTGCCCTGTAGTACAAGCTGAAGTTGGGGAGTGCAATACCTCCAGCACTCTTTTTTCTTAGGATTGCTTTGGCTATTTGGGGTCTTCTGTGGTTCCATATAAATCCGGTTATTTTTTTTGTTCTATTTCTTTTAAAAATGCCATTGGGGGGCCAGCCGAGTGGCGCGATGGTTAAGAACTGGCTTGGGATGCCAGAGGGCCCCGGTTCGGATCCCACATATGAGGGCCAGTTACACTGCCCTCTACAAAAGAAAAAAAAATTAAAATGCCATTGGGGTTTTGATGGGGACTCCATTAAATCTGTATATTGCTTTGGATAATATGGCCATTTTACGAATGTTGATTCTTCTAATCTATGAACATGGAAAGTCTTTCTATTTCTTTGTGTCTTCTTCCATGTCTTTTAAAAATGTCTTATACTTTTCAGTATATAGGTCTTCCACATCCTTGGTTAACTTTATTCCTAGGTATTTTATTCTTTTTGTTGCAATTGCAAAAGAATTTTTTTTAAATTTCTTTTTCCAAGGTTTCATTCTTAGTATATAGGAATGCAGTGGACTTTTCTATGTTGATTTTGTAGCCAGCAAATTTACTGTATTCGTTTATTGTTTCTAATAGCTTTTTGGTGGAGTCTTCAGGGTTTTCTATATACTAGTCATGTCATCTGCAAAAAGTGACAATTTAACATTTTTATTCTCAATTTGGATGCCTTTTATTTCTTTCTCTTGACTAATTGCTCTGGCTCGGGCCTCCAATACTATGTTGAAAAGCAGAGGTGAATGGGGGCAGCCTTGTCGTGTTTCTTAAATAGAACAAATGGCTTCAAATTTTTTTACCGATAATTATATTAGCTGTGGGTTTGTCATATATGGCCTTTATTAAGTTAAGGTATTTTCCTTCTATACTCATTTCATTAAGTGTTTTAATCATCAATGGATATTGTAACTTGTCAAATGCTTTTTCTGCATCTATTGATATAATCATATGATTTTTTGTACTCTTTTTTGTTTATGTGGTGTATCACATTGATCGATTTGCATTATGCTGAACTATCCTTGTGCCCTGGGATGAACCCCACTTGGTGGTGATGTATAATCTTTTTAATACATTGCTGCATTTGATTTGCTAGAATTCTGTTTAGGATTTTTGCATCTGTATTCATCACATATATTTGTCTATAATTTTCTTTTTCTTTTTGTAATCCTTACCAGGTTTTGGTATCAGGGTAATGTTGGCCTCATGAAATAATTTAGGGAGTATTGTCTCTTCTTCAATTTTTTGGAATAGTTTGAGTAGGACAGGTATTAGATCATCTTTGAATGTTTGGAATAATTCGCTAGTGAAGCTATCTGGTTCTAGACTTTTGCTTTTGGGAAAGTTTCAGATTACTGATTGAGTTTCCTTACTGTTGATCAGTCAAAACGAGTTTTAAGAATTTGACTTCAAAAGCAAGGGAAGTATAAGCTAAAATAAATGAATGGGACCATATTAAACTAAAAAGCTTTTGCAAAGCAAAAGAAACCATTGACAAAGAGGCAACCAAGTGAATGGGAGAAGATTTTTGCAAACAATGCCTCTGATAAGGGGCTAATATCCAAAATACTAATATATACGGAACTCATACATCTCAACAACAAAAATCAAACAATCCAATTAAAAAATGGGCAGAGGATTTGAATAGACATTTCTCCAAAGAGGACATACAAATGGCCAATAGGCATATGAAAAATGCTTAACATCACTAATCATCAGAGAAATGGAAATAAAAGCCACAATGAGATATCACCTCACACCAGTTAGAATGGCTATCAGCAACAAGACAAACAATAACAAGTGTTGGGGAGGCTGTGGAGAAAAAGGAACCCTCATACACTGTTGGTGGGAATGCAGATTGCTGCAGTCGCTATGGAAGGTAGTGTGGAGGCTCCTCAAAAAATTAAGAATAGAGTTACCATATGACCCAGCAATCCCTCTCCTGGGTATCTACCAAAAAAATCTGAAGACATTTATCCATAATATATATGTGCTCCGATGTTCATTGCAGCTTTACTTACGGTGGCCAAGACATGGAAACAACCAGTGCCCTTTGAGTGATGACTGGATAAAGAAGATATGGTATATATACACAATGGAGTACTATTCTGCCATAAGAAAAGATGAAATAGTGCCATTTGCGACAACATGAATGGATCTTGAGATAATTATGCTAAGCTAAATAAGTCAGACAGAAAAAGTTGACAACTATATGATTTCACTGATATGTGGTATATAAAACTGAATACAACAAGGAACAAGAAAAACAAATGAAGAAACAAAAAGTCATAGACACAGACAATAGTTTAGTGGT